GTGTGGGAGTTTCAGGTGCTAAAATTTGGGTCGTGAATCAGCCTGTTTCGGTGGTCGGCCGAAGTGCTGCTGTCGAGGTTGTTTGGCGTAGTGTGACTGTGTAAAGAACTTTAATTTTTTGGCTATTGTGTTTGTGTGCTTCGGTGTGTATCTTTCTGTTTGTGTTTTTGTCTCTGGTTTTTTATTTATTTTTTGGTGTTACTATCCCTTTAGGATCTAGATTTTACTATTGGGAGTCACTTACGATTGTGAGTGCGTTGTAGTGTTTAGGCTCATTTCTGAGTGTTCTCTCACTAAATTCAACTTTTGACCGAGTTCTAGATGTAATTATATTTCCAATTATAAAATACCTATTGTTCCGAAAAAAATTTAATAATAATAAATCGCTCAATTAAAATTAATAATAATAAATCGCTCAATCATATACTACAATGCAGCTATAGTGGAAGGTTGAATAGTAGTGGACCGTTGGGCCGAAAAAAAAGTTATCTTAATGCTAAATATTTTAGGAACAAAAATTATTATTGATTATACACGACATGGGGACCACAGTATTTGACAATAAATTTTTTCAAATATTTCTATCTGCATTAAAATTTTGAAAAAAACATATAAAGAATTCCCGATCGGTACCTCAACGGCTATTTTTTCTCTCTATTTGCTCTTCTCTCTCACTCACTCTTTCTATTCTCACTTGCACCTTCTTTCTTCTCTTAACTTCTCTCAGGTGAAAAGAGTGTTATTGTGTTCTTCGACCCTTATCTCGGCGACTGCAAAAATCAGGCAGATCGGAGCACCGGCGAAGGTTTGTTCGGTAAACTTCCGGCCTTTTTTCTCTACGAATCTGATTTCACGTTTTGTTTCTTTTTGGATCGAGCTAGCTGATTGTTCGTTTTTGGAAAGCTTAATCGTTAAGTTCATTTTCTTCTGTAGACTGTAGTTTTGTTCTGCAATCCTCTGGTAAAACGGTATAAGGCCATTATTACGGTCATCTTCGTCGTCGATTTTGCCGGTATGTGTAAATTTTATGCAGAGGACAAGCTAAAAGTTAGTGAAAATTTGCCCCATAAAAAAATTTGAAGCATTTTCAACTTCTTGATCAACTGGTCTTTTACTTTGTGACCTAATTCATTTCGTTTTCTGCAGAAAATATTATGCTCACAAGTTATCCGAGCAATTTAATTGCAGAGTTCAACCAATTTTGAATACAGAGTGAGAAATTAGGTGAGGGTGTTCCCCGAGGTGGTGTATCATAGTAGATTGAATTATAGAATTTGAAGATGACGGTCAGAACTCCAAGTACGCCCGCCTCAAAAATTGATCGGACGCCGGTAGCCACTCCAGGTGGGCCAAGAGCAAAGGAAGAGAAAATAGTAGTAACAATAAGATTAAGGCCTATGAACAAGAGAGAGCAATCGTCTAAAGACCAGATAGCGTGGGAATGCCCTGATGATCACACCATCACATTCCGGCTGAACTCGCACGAACGTGCAGCCCAGTCGAACTCCTTTGCATTTGGTATTTAAATGTTGGAACCGTAAATATATTTGTTGTCATAAATCCACATGTGTTGATTCAGGAGAAACTCATGCAGGTTTCTTCCTTTTTCAGATAAGGTGTTCGGTCCTGATTGCTCAACTGATGCTGTGTATGAGGATGGAGTTAGGACGGTGGCCTTATCTGCTCTCATGGGAATCAATGGTAATTTTTGTTCTTTAAATACTAATAGTGTAAAATGGTTAATATTCATTCTTCTCTAGTCGAGGATTGTATCAAAATTGATAATGCTTCTTTACTAATGGTTCTCAAGATAGTATTATATCTAAAACATTTGTTGCAGCTACCATATTTGCTTATGGACAAACTAGCAGTGGAAAAACGTACACGATGAGAGGAATAACGGAGAAAGCGGTTAATGATATATACAAGCATATCATGAATGTAAGCTTCTCGAATTTTCTTCTGTCATTGCATCAGTGAACATTAGTCCTACTTGCACAAAGTTGGAGTGGCGGCAGTGAGACTTAGGTACTTTACATAACAATAAGGCTATTTGCCTCAATCAAGGAAGATGATTTGTAGGCAGGGACAAAATTGTTAACTTTTATCTGAAAATATATTAAGAATTTCTGTAGATGGCATCAGTAAATGGTTTTTTCCTAGTATTGATGATGTTAGAGTCTATCAGGAATGCTAATAGGGCACATTCTTTTCTTATCATATTTCATATACATGTAATAGCCAGAAGCAGAAGATAAAGTAGTGTAGAAGTATTTATCATCTTCGTAAGTAACCATTTATAATCTTCCCTGCTTCACAGACTCCAGAACGAGACTTCAAAATTAAGATATCTGGCCTTGAAATTTATAATGAAAATGTCAGAGATCTGCTGAATTCAGAATCTGGCCGTAATCTTAAGCTTCTCGACGATCCAGAGGTGAACTTTTTCTTTGGCTACCTGTGTTGTTGTTTTTCTTATTTATCTACCTATGATGACGATGTCGTTTTCTTTCCTCGCATGTTATATTTTATTTTCTTGTTTTCATGTTAACTCCTTTGCAGAAAGGAACTGTGGTCGAGAAATTGGTGGAAGAGACAGCAAAGGATGATGAACACTTGAGACATTTAATCCATATTTGTGATGGTAAAGAATTACACCTTTTGACTCTGGCTATCCCGGTTCCCATTATTATATGAAACAGTGAAGTAATAATACTTGCATTGGTATGAATTCTAGCTCAAAGACAAGTCGGTGAAACAGCCCTTAATGATACTAGCTCGAGGTCACATCAAATAATAAGACTGGTATGAATTTTTTTGGAAAATTCGATGGATTTAGAAGAAAATGTAAAGATACCATTAATGTTTTCACTAATAAACTAAATTTTTTGTCCGGTGCAGACGATTGAAAGTACTCTCCGTGAAAACTCAGATTGTGTGAGATCATATGTTGCGAGCTTGGTAACTATTAGTCGTCTCGTTTCTTTCACTCTTCTATCTAGCAACATGAAACAATGTTAGACTTTGTAGTTTTTCTGACCCTCACACATGTCATGCAGAACTTTGTAGATTTAGCTGGAAGTGAACGGGCTTCACAGACAAATGCAGAAGGTGTCAGGCTTAGGGAAGGCTGTCATATTAATCTTAGCTTGATGACTCTTACAACTGTAATTAGGAAGCTAAGGTCAGCATTAGCACTTAAGAAATAAAACTCTATAGATCACTACAGCAGTCTGGGAAACACTGGCAAACGTGCAAAATATGTCTTCACCCTTCCACTCTTAGATTTACACATCTTCTTGCCATATAGTACTAGATCATCATTACTGTAACCTATGCTGGCTGCACCACAGCTATCCATTTCTCGCTCTCTTTTTTTTTCATCTTATCATATTTCTTCAACCTTTTCCTGTCTCGATCAACAGAATTTGAGGTTCTTCTAGTGAATTCTCTTATTTAATTGCTGAAGTATGAAAACGTATAAGCTCAGTTGTACTTTTAACATGTTTTTAGTTTCTTTCATTTCTCATAATTTGTTTATTTATTTATTACATTTTGCTACTGATGTTTCCCAATATAAAGATTGATTGTACTGTGAGAGATTTTTTCCAGTTATCCACTTCTAAATGCATGAATACCTCGAGTCAATTTATTGACCTTATAACATATATAATTGTCTTTCCAGTGTTGGAAAAAGAAGTGGTCACATACCCTATCGAGATTCAAAGCTCACAAGGATACTACAGCATTCGCTTGGAGGAAATGCCCGGACTGCCATCATATGCACATTGAGTCCAGCATCAAGCCATGTTGAACAGTCTCGAAACACCCTCTTATTCGCTACCCGGGCAAAGGAAGTCACGAACAATGCTCATGTCAACATGGTAGCCGTCCCATGATGATGAACTCAACTACCATACCTCACAGAATTTGTTGGATGCTTTTGTTCATTGATATTTGGTTTGGAGCAGGTTATTTCTGAAAAGCAGCTCGTCAAGCATTTGCAAAAGGAGGTAGCCAGGCTGGAAGCAGAGCTACGCACACCGGACCCATCCAGTGAGAAAGAAGTTAAAATTCGTCAGGTTAGCTACAACTGATTCCCATAGCACTAGTTTCTAATTACCAAAAAAATTTTCATGAGGTAGTTACGATATATATATATTTGATGTACTCAGATGGAGATGGAAATGGAAGAATTGAGGCGCCAGAGGGATTTAGCACAGTCCCAGGTCGATGATTTGCGTAGGAAACTCGAGGAGGAGCAGGTGCGGTTTAATTAATTGCACAGGAACAATTTTTCTTTCTTCTTTATATTCATGTTTTAATTAAAAAGAATTCTACGTGTAAAACAGAGGGCAAAAGTATCTGAGTTTCCAGCTCCCCCTGCAAAGAAATGCTTGTCGTTTTCGACAAACGTACTGCTGAAACACGAGGGGATTGAGCAGGTAACAAGGAACACAGCTGGAAGGCAAACTATGAGGCAATCATCAACCGCTCCTTTCACTTTGATGCACGAAATTCGGAAACTTGAGCATCTCCAGGAGCAGTTGGGTGAGGAGGCTAACCGAGCCCTTGAGGTGCTACAGAAGGAGGTTGCTTGTCATAGACAAGGCAATCAAGATGCGGCAGAAACTATTGCCAAGCTGCAAGCAGAGATAAGGGGCATGCGTGCGGCCGAGCCCAACAACCCTTCTTCTTGTAAAGAAGTTGGAGTTGAGAATGCTTTCACCTCCGTTAACAAGAGCTTGAGCGCAAATCTTAAGGACGAGATCACAAGACTTCACTCGCAAGGAAGCACCATAGCTGATCTCGAGGAGAAGCTCGAAAACGTGCAGAAGTCCATAGACAAGCTGGTAATGTCTCTTCCACAAGGCGGGGACCACCAGCACTCAAAGGACGAGAACAAAAATGCGGAAAAGAGTGGATCTAAAAAGAAGAAGCTGCTCCCATTGGCTTCGAGCAACAGTCTTAACAGGCATAACCTGATACGATCTCCATGTTCGCCTTTGTCGGCCTCTCGCCAAGTGGTGTCGAACACAGATATCGAAAACCAAGCTCCGGTTTATGATGACGATGTTGTGTCTGGAGAGACTCAGGCGGTCGAGAAGGATACCCCGACGAAGAGCGAAGCGGGGGAGGTCTCATCCAAGGAGAATACTCCGTACCGCCGTTCGAGTTCAGTCAATATGAAGAAAATGCAGCGCATGTTTCAGAATGCGGCGGAAGAGAATGTGAGAAGCATAAAGGCGTATGTGACTGAACTCAAGGAACGTGTGGCCAAGCTGCAGTACCAGAAACAACTTCTTGTGTGCCAGGTACTCCTGTTCTTTCTTTCATTTATTTCTTTTGTCTATTGTTCTTCTGTACATGTGTTAGTATATGTAGCTTTCTCTCTTAATAAATTTCTGGTGCGATGGTAGTATAATAGTAGCTTTTTCTCTCTTTAATAAATTACCGATGCCATTGGTGGTGAAGTTGCAATAGGACTACCCGTTCAAGTTTATATATATTTTCTCCTCATTTTCACGAATACCATCCAAAAATTAATTATTACCACAAATATCATGTTAAATATATAACTCATTTAAGAGTATATTTCTAGCCACCGATCAATTTACAACTTATTTTACTATTTTTATATCACATTAACTTTTAGGTGCCGCCAATATGATTGCAGGTGCTAGAGCTTGAAGCAAATGAAGCTGCCGGATACACTTTGGAGGACGACACAAATACTGGCGAGATACAAGAAGAGTCACCAGCATGCTGGCAAGTGGCTTTTAGGGAGCAGAGGCAACAGATCATTGAGTTGTGGGATGTCTGCCATGTGTCCATCATTCACCGGACACAATTCTATCTTCTATTTAAAGGGGACTCTGCCGATCAGATATACATGGAAGTCGAGCTTAGACGTTTGTCATGGCTGCAGCAGCATTTGGTCGAGATTGGAACTGCCAGCCCGGCTCCAGTGGGAAACGAGCCAACGGTCTCTTTATCATCAAGGTTCGGTTAACATTTGCTAATCATTAGTCAACCTTTATTCCTCCAGTTTCTTATTTCCGGTACATATTAAGAAAATTTATTTGGTTTGCGTCGGGAAAAATTTAAAACAACTACTCAGAAAAATTAAAAACACTACTCATATAGACATATCACAACTAGATATATAATATATGTAAGTTGTGTGTGGATCTAGGGTAGGTTCTTAAAAGCTTCTTTCAGACTTTTAGCAGCACCCTTGCAGAATTGGTTAGTGGCCACTAGTAAATATGTGACAAAAATTTTGGTGATATAGGAGTATGAAATTCAGGTTTCTTTTCTTCTTTTACTTTTATTCTGATATTGTTGTTGTGTGATCAGTCTGAGAGCACTGAAACGGGAGAGAGAGTTTCTTGCGAAGAGGTTAACTACTCGTTTGACAGCCGAGGAAAGAGATATGCTGTACAAGAAATGGGAAGTGCCCTTGGAGGGTAAGCAAAGGAGAATGCAGTTCATAAGCAAGCTGTGGACTAATCCACATGACGAGCGGCATGTACAAGAGAGTGCCGAGATTGTAGCGAAGCTTGTTGGGTTCTGTGAAGGCGGTAATATGTCGAAAGAGATGTTCGAGCTCAACTTTGTGCTTCCATCTGACAGGAGGCACTGGTTTGTCGGCTGGAACCAGATATCTGACCTCCTTCATCTGTGAGATGAAAAGTAGTAAATATGCATTCTTTATTTATTGAAATTGGTTCCCATATATCTTTGTTGAGGGGTGGGAATGATTCCAGTTCTCAACTTGTCCTCTTTGGTTGTTTTAATTTACTTATTGGTGCAGCACAATCAAGTTTGATTGATTCCTTTGTTTTCATTTGTGACATTGAAAGGAATGGAGTGAAATGAGCGTGTTTGCAGTCCTTTGACATGGCAGTATGAGCATACTAGTGCAATAATAACATAATGCAGAAATTCTAAGATGAAATTCTGCTCCTATAACCAAGTTCGGTAGATTCATGTTTATATCTAAATCATAATTTAATCCTCTTATATAGTTTTCGAATGCATTGAGTGGTGACATGATGAAATTATAACACAATGTCATAACATAATGGATAAATAGGGTAAATGAGTATAGTTTATATGCCTAGTGAACTACTCCTTGCTTCAACCCATTGGTTTTGAGATAGAACTTCACTAAGGTGCAACTAGACTCACCCTCTTATGGTGCGCTTCACTTTGTTGGACCGCAACCCTGATGCCCAGATTATCAAAATTTAACATGGTATCAGAGCGAGCATAATTTGGGATCTGTGATGATTTAAAAATGTACCAATGTACCCGGCCTAGTTGTAGGCTCGAGATTATGATGATGATTAAATGTACCCGGCTTGGTTGTAGGCTTGGGTTGCTGAAGGACTCACAAGTGAGAGGCAAGTGAGTTGACTCATTGATTTGATAGACTAAATGGAGTCTAGTGCCCCAATTATCAAAATTTGACATGGTATCAGAGCGGGCCTAATTTGGGACCTGTGATGATTTAAAAATGTACCCGGCCTGGTTGTAGCCTCGAGATTATGATGATGATTAAATGTACCCGGCTTGGTTGTAGGCTTGAGTTGATGAAGGACTCACAAGTGAGAGAGCACTGAGTGGACTCACTGATTTGATAGACTAAATGAAGTCTAATTTATAAGCATAGCGGGCTCTCCTCTCTTCACTGAGTGGGACCGCACTATTGATGCCCCGATTATCAAAATTTGACATTCATACTATAAAGTATTAATTAAGGCTAATATTATAACCATGTTCCATTGATTCATGTTTCTTATTAAATAATCAAATCACAATACTAATCCTCCTATACATAATTTTCGAATATATTAAATCTAGGTGACATGCTCGCACGTTTCAAAATTATAAGTGAAAGAATACCATGCTTTAGAGTAAGGCTTAGATAATAATAGTATTTATACAAAAATATTAAATTTGGATTACATTAAATGTCTATATTATTCACATTAAATTCAAGATTATCTTTTATTTTATGATTATGATATGTAACATATTAATACATGATTTATATACTTATTTCACCCATCATAAAAAGCTTTCCTTTTAGAATTTCTATTTAGAATTAAAAAAAATAAAAATTTAACATATTCAAACATTATTTTGAAATAATACTTACAAAAAATACTTTTTTTCTCCTTTCTTTTACTTATACCTTATTACAATACAATATTTTGATTCCTAAATAAATGATGGTAAAGTTGAAAAATTGTGACAAATATTATACACAAAAAAATAATTCAAAAAGAATGCAGTGTTTCAACGATCGATCAACAACTGTTTTAGTTAAGAAATTAAGGATGGACTAAGGATGATTTATAGGAAATGCTTGTTATAACGACATGCAAATTGAATGGAAAGTACAAGAAAGTAAAGACGTGCACTTCAATGCCACAATTTATATGCTGAAAAGGTAAAAAATCAATAATGATAGTGTGCCACTTTAGGGGCTAGATGGCCGACGTATGTTGTCATGCAAAATCGACTTTTGGGGATGGGACATGCATTTTTGGCTTTTTATGATGGGACCGGTTGAACGACCGACTTACCGTTTTCATTGTAAGAGGTCATTCACACAACACAAGAGATCGACAATGATCTCCTACAAAGGGATCGACAATTATCGCATAGCTTTTGGGCCTGTCTTGCTTGTTTCATGGGCTGTGGCTTAATTGGGCAGCCAATACTTTGTAGGAAAATGCTACATTGACAACCTAGTGCTAAGTTGACAATACAAGTAAAAACTAAAAACATCCATTTTTTTATATAAATGTTTCTATTTGTGTTGTCAACCTAGTTGTACAATAGGCTGGCATAGTAGCATTTTTCTATTTTGTATTTTTTTTATGGGCCTAAATTCCGCGAACGTGTACAACAAGGGCTCCTTGGTTTCCGGATCATCAAGAGGATTGTCAGGCCACTGGGGGATTCGGGAAGTTGTTTGCTAGTTTATCATAGAAAAGTTAGCGATCTCAGATCAATATTGAAATTTCGCACGCAATAAAAAATAATAGGTCCAGTGTAAGTGGGGAGCCATTCATAGTCTTTAATAAGGAGAGAGAGATTATAAGGGCGTTTCATGAGTGCATCTTTTGGTGGGATAAGTGACGGCGTTTGAAGATGACGACGTTTCCCCTTTCGCGCAAATCGATGTACCCTGTCCAATCTTGTCGATTACATTTTAAAATTGATGTAAGCCTATAAATAGATGGTCAGAATTTACCTCCTCTTGGACTTTTGCCTTCATTTTCTTTTGATGATTTTTTATAGACTAGGTTGCCGGATAGCGATTTTGGACAAGACATCAGTACTTCGCCATGTAATTTCAAGTGTCTTATTTACTTCTTATCTCGATAACAATATTATGTAGGAGAGTAGCCAAGATTTTGATATGGACGCGGTGGATGTTGTGTTAAAAGGCGATCGAGCCGATCATATTAGAGAGTCGATCGTTACTACGAGTAGAATCCAACATATACAAACGCGTCCGGTCGCCATATTGTGTGAAAGACGTCCACCCGAACACATGGTATCGACTCTATGGAGACACTAGATTTAAATATGATGTGAAAGACGTCCAAAATCAAGATCTGGGTATTTTCATTTCGCACCGAGGGACGATAAGTATGCAGTCTTAGTGACAAACCTCCATGAGTATCGTCCTAAATGAAGACAAAAATGGTTTTGGGTCTCCGGAGACTAGAAAGAAGCGAGAGGAGCAAATGCGATACCCAGTGGTGCCAATTAAGCTGGTGGAGAAGATAAGTGATAAATACTTATAATAAAAAAAATATTAAATATATTTACTTATTTAGTAGAATTAACTTATAAGAAAACTAATTCATATAATTTACATTTATACAAAGTTTAATGAAATTTAAAACTTAAACTATTTAGAAAAAAATATTAATTAGTCTTATAATAAAATAACTGAAAATATTATTCGTGAAAAAAAAATCCTATTTTGAAAAAAATTAAGAATATATTAAATTAATACATATAGTAAAAATTATTAAATAACTTAGTAAAATTACCCTAGTAAGAAAATTAATTCATATAAATTTACATTCACGCAAAATTTTAGAAAAAAAAAATATGGATTGATATCTAAGAGCACTCACAATGCTTTAGGTCTAATTTTACATATGTGGCATATAAATAGACTTAAGTCCTAAATGACATGGACAAACCCAAGTAAAAAAACTCAAAAGCTATTCAATGCAAAAATAAAATACTAGGTCTAGCATACATGACAACCAATAAAAATGCTCTAATTGTTGTGAAATATTTATTATAAAATAATGTAGGTGAATGACTATTTTGTCCCTGATGTAATTGTATTTTTACGGTTGTGCCATCAGAAGTTTCCTATAAATAGGAGCTTCAGTTATAATGAAAATTGCACCTAAGAGAATACATTTTCTCTATTCTCTCTCTTTTCCCTCTAGTTTTAT